CAGAGACCCAGTGCACCTTTACCACAGAGGACAGCTTTTGCTCAGTAGATGTAGGCTGGCATCAAAGGATGAGCAGGGTCAGTAGATGTGTAGGGGGGAGAGGAATGGTGTGTGTGTGGGGCCAGATCTCCCATGCCAGGCATTTGTCACAGTAGGAGCTCCTTTACAGTGACTGTATGTGCCGTGTATACCCCAAAACGAGGGGAGTCTGCGAGGTGGCTTGCAGGTCCCCTTTAGGACACCCCAGGAATCCCTTCCCAGCAGATGTGTGACACTCAGTGTGTTTCTGCAGTCTCCAGGATGGGACAGACAGACCCTTTCCCCGAGGTCCTATGGGCAAACCTTTCCTTTTCTGTGTTACGTTGGGCAATATAACAATATAAAGCTGCCCTTGGCGGTTTCATGTCATGAAACCAGCCCAATGACTTGTAAGACAATCCATGCTAACGGAAACATGGTGCAAGAGTAAATATTGTCAAAGTTGGAAAAGTGGTTTCAAAACTGCAGGATTTCAGAGAAAAAAAAAAAAAGAAAAGGACAGCATCAAAATCCCAGCTTCTAGTCAGAAAAATGTTAACACCAACCTTTGGAGGAAAAAATGTGAACCTATCAGGAGAAGAATAATGATGCAAAATCAGTCAGCATTAATACAAAGGCATAGCGAAAGGACAACGTTCTCCTCTGAAGGTAACCTCAGCTTACATGGTTAAATGCATGTGGGCTGACTACAATAGAGTATCTGTGTGTGGTGCTGTGGTTTGATCTATTCAAGAAGACAGGGCTGGAGGAGCTGTCTAGGTCATTATCTCCAGTGCTCTGCAATTGCAAGTGCTGTATGCTTGTGTACATGCGTGTGTACAGGAGGTGTAAGATCCGCATTCCTACAAAGCTACCTGCATCTTGAAAAACATCTCAGAGCTACTGAAGAGAGACCCTAGTCAAAGAAGACAACAAAACTTCTGCAATTACTAATAAACCTGACAAACTGATTTATGGCTGTTTTTCTTGCTGTGATTTGTTGACAGATTGTTCTTTATGCAAAAATTACCAAGGTTTAAATCTGCATCATATGGCCCCTAATTCAGCTGACAATATGTTACCAATTAAATTCCGCTTAAGCTATCATCAACCAGCGAACCACAGACTGTGTTAAAGAGAATGACAGTCAGATAGCCAGTAAAATCATTTGTGCCGTGATTCCAAAGGAAAGCCTATAAAGGAGGGACATTAAATAACTACATGAAAGATAAAAGAGCTTTTTTTTTTGTAGTGAAAATGAAAATGCTGCCAGTTTTGCGTGTAATGTTGGAGAAATATGGACAGGATCCCTGTCCTTGGTATCCCATATTGTCCTCACATGCAGGAGGAGCTGCACTGCAGGGGAAGTGCTTAGTGAGAAGAGTGTTAATGAAACTTAACCATTTGCCCTTTCATTTGATCTCCAATTACTCTTTGGCTGGACTTAGGCCCTTGCTCTTCGGTATTGTTATTTTCACTGGCAGGGAGAGGATACATTTACTGCCAGGGAAAAGATCGGGTCCCACAGAACAAAGGTGTTGCCAAATTAGCTTCACTTCCCCTAGATGTTTTCTTCTTCGCTGAGGTGTCACAGAGTGCCATCGGGTGCCACGGGTCCCCACTCCAAATGCTGACAGTGGCAGCACACGACACCAGGCAGTGCACCATCTCATTTCCACATTCTGATAGGCAACCTTACCTGGGAAAGGAGCATTTCACATTTTGCCAAGAGATAAAAACTGCTGCTTGTCACAGACCTAGTATAAAGGTGCCTTTCCTAGCAGCCTTGGGCTCTGTTTGCTCCAGGAAAGAGGACAACTTCCTTGGAGTCCATGTCGTGCCGTGCTACGTGGGCTGAGGTCAGCCTACAGGGTGGAGGAGGACTGATTTGGCTTTTGGCTTCAGCACAGCACCAAAGAATTCAGCTGCACAGTGGAAGCACGCCTGTAAATGCTGCATTGTATGGAGCTTCCCACTGTGAATTTTATCTCTCTCCTTATCTCAGCTTTAATGTTGTGGTTGCGTATTAAGTGTAGGTAAGAAGGGGTAGTAATCTTTGTTTAGAAAATTGAGCATCTAACTATTAACCCCAGTGAATTGAAAATTTACTCTGTTTCCCGCTATATGATCATCGCAGTCATTATTTACTTAAGAGCTTTTTAATGCTTTGCTGTCTGCATTGATGACTGCAGTGTCCTAGCAAGGGACTAGAATTTGGGATCTCATTGTGAGGTGTCTCTAATGAACACTTGAACTCCCCTTCCTTTCTGTACATCGCAGTACAAAATCATAAGCCAAAAAACCCCATGGAGAAGCAACTAAAATTATAACACTTTCAAAAAATACAAACATCCCTCTTACTGAAGATTACAATGTAAATCAGGCATCTATTATTTCTGTGTCAGTATAATAATATAAAAAGAATTTGCACATGATAAGAGGCATCCTCTAAGGATGACAAATTAGGCATAATAAAACAGTTAGGAAAGAACATAAATAAGAAGACATTTGGGGCAAATCCTCTTCTTCCTCTACAGTCATGCAAATAAACAGCTCGAGGGATACACATCCTGGCTGACAACGTGGCAGCCAGTCCCACAGAGGCTGTTAGAGACCTCAACGAGACCTCAACAAGTCTCTCGTCCCAGCTATCCTGACCCAAAAAGAAGGGGAGTAGCAGTAGAGTCTTTGGTCTCCATTCCTGTCGTGCCTTTGTGGTCACAAACGTGAAGAATCGCAGTGCCATCTTACACTTTTTGTCATCACACAGCACACTGTGCTTGCTTTCTGGGATGGTAAAGCCCAGGATGGAAAAAGGCTGCCCCTCCAAATGGAGAATTAACATAAGGGCTGTGTATGAAATCAGATCTATGGCTCTGTAATGTCTTCCAGTATTTCTGTGAGGTCTTCATCAGCTCATCTGTACGGGCATATTTTGGTGTAACTCAGCTGAACTTGGTTGAACTGCTTCTCATGTTTTCCTATACGAAGTGAGAGTCAGTCCCTGTGTGATTCAGTAAATTTTTTCATGCATCAGCACTGTCAGGACATAATGTTTTTGCCTTTTTTTTTTCTTTTTAATCTTGCCTGTGCATCAGTGTGTGGTGCTGGAGAAAAAAAAAACAATCCTGCAGCATCAGGCAAAGCCCTTGCTGACTGCTCTGCTATGGTACATTTGTCAGTGCTTTTCCTGCTTTCTCGTTCAGATTTCTTTCAGTTTATTTTATAGGTTGCCCTGCAGATCGTGTGGGAATGCAGATCAGACTCTGCTGAAGAAGTTAGTCACGAGGGATGTCACACCAGGCACGAGGATAGCTTTCTGTTCTCCGTTTCCTATTTAAGAAGATGACACCGCAGTGGTCCTGTGTGGCTCAGGTCTCTGCAGCCCAACTGTGCGGGGTCTGGCAGACTGCACGTTGCCTCCAGATTTCTGTGTGTCTGCAGTGATCGACCCAAGACCCACCAATTCTCGATATCCTCTGGGATGCACCCAGCCCCCTTTTCCCTGGATTTCCCCTCCCATGAACTAACTCAGCACCAGAGTGTAATGATCATTTCGGGGGGAGAGCAGCAGTCACCTCAGCTCAGTGCATATGGTTTTTAATTACAGACAAGAAGAGGACAGGATGGAGAAGTTATAGAGGAGCCAGGTGGTCACCTGGGGACCATGTACAGCAGATGGAAGTCATAGTGGACTTTGTTGTAAATAAGCACACCTTGTCCCAAAGATTGGCTGCAATAGTCCCTGTGCTGACCCCCATCTTAGCATAGCACTGGCCTGGTGCACCCATCAGCTCTGGTTCTGGAGGAGAATGGGTGCTTTGGGCTGCTGCTATGTGTGCTTTCTTATATACATAGCATATTTTTTCCTCCTTATGTGATTTTTCAGATGGAGCTAGATCTGTCCAGAGGCTCACTGGTGGTGAATGCATGCATTAGTTAGACATAACGAACAGCAGGCTGCATGGCATTTTGCAAGAGTTCCCTTCCTGCTCTACCAGCAAACAACAGAGATAACTGCTGCCTCCTAAATTTCCATACTCTGCTTCTTTCTGGGCCCGGTCCAACTTACACTCAAGGTGTCTGGGAAATTTCCACTGTTTTTCATGGGTTTCAGGCTAGTCCATCCTAAGAGAGCGAAAAAAAAAAAAAAAAAAAGAAAAAAAAAAAGCCAAAGTTGGGTAATTACCCACTGGCATCTAAGCTGTATGTGCCTATAGGAAGGATGCAGGGAAAAAAGAATCTGTACCACTTAAAATCGTGTCACCATCTAGTCCCCAGCCAGAGTATCTGCTACAATTCCTAATTTATGCAGTGATTTAACATCACCGTGGGTCCAGCTCATTGAAGCAAATTTATATGCAGGAGCACTATTTTAATTTTAGACTTAAAATAATTTTAATTAATAATAGCTTCCTTTTCCAGTCTGTCAACATATCCCCACCTCTTGGCTTTTTAAGAATTAAAATAAATATAGAAATAAAAATATTAAATTATTGCCAGACAACCAGAACAAAGAAAACAGCAGAACCCTGAAGCCTAGAGATGTGAAAAATGGCCAAGAGTTTTCAACTCCATCCTGTCTACTCAACACTGCTGTAGCTAACTCCATCTTATTTAAGGCTTGCTAAAACTAAATGTGGAAATGAAATAACCAACATGCCATAATAGGCCATCTCATCCTTTATTCTTTCAGTTTGTCCTTTATTCTATCAGTCTCTCAGGTGCAAGGTTTCTTTCCCACCCCTGGTTGCTATCAAATATCACCTCCACGACTTTGCCTGTGGCATTTATCCTGCTGCTACTCTAATTTTGCTTCCTCTTCACTGGAAACAGCTGCTCTACGTGGGTAGCTCGTCCGCAGCATGGTGGGATGTTATTGGGAATCTTGTTGTTAATGTTAATGGAGCTGGTCCAGCTGCTGGCACAGAACATATGGCTTTACAGGATTTCAGACCCAAAACGTTCTCTCTGTATTTCAGGAGCACAGAGCATGGAAGACAGGGCTCAGACACCTCCTTGCTTTTAGCCCCTGGTCTTTCCTGAGGCTTATTCCCAGGAAGGGACATGGTCCCACTGCTGGGGACAGGTGAGATTGCTCTCCACTCTGCTGCTGCACCTCGCCAGGGAAAGGTTTGTGGCTCCTCTCTCTATAGGACTCGGGAAATTATGGGCTGTTTCACCCCCCCATGACTCAGAACTGAAAGTTAGTGTGTCTACATTGCCCTTTCCAATTTAAAGCAGAAAAAAAAAAGTTGTGTTCAGAAATCACCACGTTGCTTCCAAAAAGGTTAAAGTTTACCCACCAGGGTGCCTCTTGAAGGTGTGAGATTTTCAACATTGAATATAAAATGGATGAGGGTAAGACACGCCTTTCTCTTTTTCTAAGGATGCACTCATTTAGTGGTTAAACTTGAAAAGGGGCTAAGAGAAACATCCTGAATTACAGTTTAAATGAGTTTAAAATTCCAGTTACTTATAGCTTAAAAGAAAAAAAAAAAAAAGTGTCTGAAACCAAATGGTCTCAGTGGGGCGGTGCATGGGCAAAACGTAAAATGACACATAATGAAATAAAGTAATTTTATTTGCAAACCTGTTCAGGAGCCTGGTACAGACTGTAACGATCAAGCAGAAGCAGTCTCTCATTTCTCTTGGTGTTCCTTTGCAGAGTTATGTGACCCAAGAAAGAAAACATTAAGATGTTCTGATTTCACCCTATAGGACAGAGAAATACGCTTTGGTTAATGCTTACCATAATTCTATCTACTTGGCTCAGACAGTTATATTTTTATGAATCTTACGTTACTTTCTGTCACCCTCTAGGCAACAATATAGAGTTATTACAGTATAAAGGAAAATGCTTCCTGTTGAGCTTATACTTGAACAAGTCTTAACCAAGTGGAAGCTCTTAATAAAAGGGTAAATATACTAAGGAATAAACAGGTACAGCGAATAAAAAGGAGTACCGGATTTATTGATGCTTAGGTTCATGGCATAGACTAGCGAAAGGTAGAAAACTCCAAGGTAAAGCTGGCAGGCCGAGCTCGGTCAGAAATCTGAGGGAGTTAGAGTTTTGTTAAGTGAATTTAGTGCTCATTAAGGGATTTGCGGTGTCAGCATTACCGAGTGGAGTCCTCTCTCGCCCTCACATCAGCAAGAGCGTAGTGCAGCAAGATTAATTCTGCGTCCGTCCTCTTCTTGGCCTCCTCAATAAAATTATCACCCAGGGACCCAATTGTTCGGTGCTAGCCGGTGCATACCTGCTCGCCAGGAATTTAGCTGAGATCACCCCCTCCTTTAATGCGGCATGCGGATCGTAGTGCCCTGCACTGGGCTGGGCTTCAAACACCAGATTAACCTTGTGTTATTTTTTTTATTATTATATTTTTTTTTGCTCCGTAATGATTTATTTGCATACCTTTAGTAACTGCATAATGCACAGAAGCCTTTATTGGCTGGCCTGTGCACTGGCATCGCTTCTTCACTCGATGTGTACCTGGGAGGAGGTGTCCTGGTCTTTGCAATAATGGGTAGGGGCAGGCACCCCGCTGTCCTGGGGGCTTGCTTGTGCCAGCTCTTGGTGGCAGGAGACCCTTATACCAACCATTAAGAGCTGCATAGACCTACTGGTTACAGATAACTTCCAGCCTGAGTTGAAAGGAAGATATTGTCACTAGTGCTGGCTGCTTTCGTTAAGAGCAATGACAACGCTTTGGTTCCCTCTGAAATGCCCACACAAATTGTTTCCTTCTGCTTTACATCTCTCTACCATCATTTTTTCCCCTTGTTCTCACTCCAGTTATTTTGACTAAAAGTTTGTTTTGCATAGCAGAGGAAATAGAGATCTGCAAATACTAAACAGACTCAAGCAAAAATATTGGTGCACATGTTCTCAAATTAGTTACATGGAGTGTGGCTCTAGAAAACGCTGGTGAGTTTGGAAAAAATGAACTTGGTCTGGCTGTGTATCTTTCCCTCTCAGCCGAAACCAGCGTTCATATAGTTTTCATTCTGCTGGAAACTATTCACAATGAGTATACAAGTATATTGCAAACCCTCTTTTCCTATGGCCCCATGCGGCTTTTTAAGCCCAGATATTAAGCCTTCCTCAGCATTACCTTATCCTTTCGTCCAGACATCATTCAAAGGTACAGTTGACTTTCTAAATTACATCATATGTAAGTAGATTTATTTTTCCTTTTCTGCAGATATAGTTTAATTTCCTTTTCCAATTTGCATGGGTGCACACTCATAAATTTTAAATATATTTAACCTCTTTTCAAAAGACCCTTTGAATTTCTCTAAGGTCTGTGCCCTCTGAGTTGGATACACAATCTTTTGTACATAAAAACCCACCAAGACTTCCAGAAATGCTGCATTAAACACCTCCCTGCGTTTCCAAAAGGCTCTCTCTTTCCCTCATGAAACAAAACGTCCCCCTGCATGATGCTTCTGTTAGCCTGTAATGGAGAGACATTTGTTGGGGCTTTGCTGGAAGCACAGTTCATTGAGTACCAAAATAGTGAGGGAAGGTCAGCAGGGCTGTCCTGGGCCCCAACAGACATCCTGCCAGCCCAGGGTCCTGGACATGGCCCCGACCAGAGCCCACAGCTGCTGGAGGAAGGCAGAGGAGATGTTTCAGCATAGCAGAGATGGACTGACCTGTGCCCATGGCAAGTCTTCTGTCACTGCCTGAGGCATTAAGAATTGATGAAAGGATCCCACACCAAACTCTTTATTTAATTTTTCTTTTTCTTCTCAAGTGCCTGTAACCTCTGAGTAGTCACCTTGCCACCCAGGTGGCATTACCACCATCACCTCTCTTTTGTTCCTCACCATTAGATTTCCCTTTAGGGGAGCACCCCCTTTGGGAAGCCCACATCTACACCCACTTTCCAACCAGATGATGAGGATAAACTATTTCTTTGTCTTGCCAAAGAGAAGGGTGAGGAGCAGAAGGCTCCTCAGCAGGACCTGCCTCCCAGGCACAGTGCTCCACTCAGGTTTGGGGTAGAATAGCTGCTGGGGGGTTGTTTTAAACCTGGCCATGGCTACAATTGCTGGTTCAATTTGGGTGGCCAGGCTGGGAGAGCCCATTTTTCACACCAGAGGTGACCTGGGGAATGCAAAGGGTGGCAATGGGAACCGCATGGAAGCTGTACTTCTGTCCCCACTCCGCGCCCCATGGCACATCCCGGCTGCTGGTACCCAAGCCCAGCTCACCGCAACACCAGAGCCCCCCAGAGAGCACACAAAAGACCTGTGGTTGTTCAGCGAGGACCACCTGCCTCTCCTTGTTTTGGTTTGTAAATGTAATTATCCAAAAACATATATATCATCCTAATCTTTCCCAGATGTCGTGGTGCTGGCTTCGTTCGGGTCTTGCCCGTGCGGGCTGGAGGGGAGCTCGCAGCCTGCCTGGCTCGGTGTGGAGGGGGGCGAGGGGCTTGCTCTGCTCCGATGCCTTTGTCTCCTGCCTGCTCTGCCAGCACGGAGGTTTTCTTTGGGGAGCCACTGCTCTGAGGATGCTCTGAGAGGATGCAACCTTAAAACCAGCGCGGTCGCAGAGAATGATAATGAGGGCGTTTATTAAAGTCGTTTACCAGGCAGGAACAGAGTGCACAGGAAGCATAGGATAGAAGAGCGTGCGGAGTAATTGCTTAACTAAACCTGCTGCTGCTCACAATTTCAGAAACCTTCACGGGGAAGATAAAGGAGAGGTTAAAACACGCTTCTCCCCTCTGCCCCCATCCCATGCCTGGCCCCACAGCATCCGCCTCAGCCCTTGGACCCCTGGCCAGGTGCTGTGCTGGGAGCAGGGTGCATGTCTGCTGGTCCTACCCATCACCAGCACCGTAGGTCGTGCCCTCCCCATCGCCCAAAAAGCCCCCATCCAGCAAAAGGGCTTTGTTTGAGCTGGCCCCCAGGGAAAGCCCAGTCCTAACGCTGGGCTCGGTCCTTTTGTTTGCAGGTTAAAAACTTGACCTTCCCCTCCCCTGAGCCCCAAACGGCCCTCGTAGCACTTCTGTCCAGCAATTACATCTTCTTTTTAGATCTTACTCAGGCAAACAGAAGGACTGCGATAACATAAATAGGTCTCAAAACCTTTTGTGTGGGGGAAAAAAATACATAGGAAAGAGAAAAACGAGGGGAAAGAAATGCGTGTGTCTCTAATTGGCATAATTCCTTCAGCCCTGGCTCATAATTTAAGACGGATCAATTCTGGAGCTGACATGATAGATGTCATCATCAATACTCGGAAACAGCGATTTATATTTCTGCGTTCAGGGACACAGCCATCGACGCACCTCGGCGGGGGTCCTGCATGCGAGTCAGGAGCAGGATGTGGCCGGCAGACGGAGACTTGACTGAGACTTCCAGCCACGCAACTTATTAAAATAATAAATATTTTCATTATCCACAGAATCCATTATACTTCTCCGTTTTAGCAATAGTTAACTAATAATTTGGATTAATTACCAAGCTAAATCATTAAAAATTAAATCCATATATTTCTTTTCTTTAAAAGAGTGATAGTTTGCAACCATTTGTGTATTACGCATGTTAAGTGGGAGGGTGATGAAATATGTTGTGTTAACTGAGCTTTGACAGCATCTGTATCCATGCCACATTATGCTCTGGTCTTATCAAATCTCAGAAGCTACTGTGTATAAATAGACTGTGATGATATTTGCGGGAGAGAAATCATTCACAATAATTTTTTGGCATCTTCTGTAGTGACTAGAGAAGAACCGTCTAACGAATATAGCATATAATAATGCAATAAAGGGGTATATAAGAGCCCGGGATGAGGAGCACTTGTACTGAATCAGAGTTATGGTTCAGCACACGCTACCTATCAGACATAAACACAACTTTCATCCTAAGGAATTTCAGAGCAGATTGCAAGTGGAAACGAATAGGGAAACCCAATTCAGAGGTCATTTTGCTCTCTGCTGAAGCAACGATTGGCACCGTGATGGAACTTCGCAGTTACTTAATGAAACATTATCAGCTCGAAGACATATAGGTGCGGGGGGAAGTAATGCTGTCCAGTGAGTAACATTATTTATGAATGTGCATTTTATTACGTTTGGAATACTAAACTAGGGGCTGTGCAGCAGCACAGACTGTGTGTTACTGAGCTCAATACAGGAAAAAAAACTGTGAAACTGGATAGGCTGTGATATACAGCTGGCTGGACTAGATAATCCAGTGGTTTTACCTTGCTGTAAACTCTGTGAGGTTATGAAAGGAGCTACGTTTAAAACTCCATTAAGCTTAAGCCTGTAAGTATCTAATTAAAGTGGGGCGCTGTACTGAAATTTAAATAGCAACCTTCTTGTTATAAAACATATTCAATGGACTACTTAAGAGCCCACTGGACAAACAAAACACATCCTAAAGCTCCGGGGGACTGATTCTGCAGCACCTACTCTAATTCAGGAGCACGTGTCCCTGAGGAGCCGGTACTGCTTGGCGTGGTGACGAGTTGCAGGAGCAAGACTAAATAATGCTTCCTGCCTTCTCCATCCTTTGGAAGAGATTTGTGTCTGGGCTTTATGTAAACACCCACCGAGGGACTGTATATGTCATGTCCCAGCTTACACGGGAGCTCGGAGCGGTTGCTGGAGCTCTCTGTGAAGACAGACTTGCAAAGAGATGTGCATTGCACGCTGAAAAAAAGTGTACCTGTGCTCAGTGGCCTTCCTTCTGAGCAGGGTAGCAATTTGCCCTCTGGAGGAAATGCTGATGGATTATTTTTTTGGGGCAAAATCACGTCTGCATTGGTGTGGCACAAGTTGGGTAATGAAGGAGAGAATCACGTCCTTGAAACACACTGTAGCGATGCTGAGGAATTTCCTGTGCTAGTCACCAGAAGCTTGTTTAAAAATTTCTGTATCTCCCGGTACCTCTGGAACTCCTTTCCTGGCCTGCAAAAGCGTTCGGCTAAGGTCCTGTGAATTCCCTGAGAATTAATTCGTTGCTCGCCGGGTGAACGTTGTTTTAAAGGTAGGTTATGCTGAAGAGATACTAGAGAGAGATTTTTCACACAGGATGTGAAGAATGTAGTATTTCTCACCTCCCCCTTATTTTATGTTGCATTAAAATTATCTTTACTCTTCCTCCGGCAGTTGCTATGCCGCACTCAAGACAGAGAGTCTGGGAAGTGGGAAATGTCAACTTTTAAGATGATGTTCAGCTTTCTTGTTACACGCATTCTTTATGTAATGGGTTTGAATTACGTGTTGTTCACAGGCTTTCAGCTCTTCTTAGAAAGTTAGCTTGACTGGGCACGGTTGCTTGCTTATTCTTAATAAAGAGTTGATGACACTGGAAAGAGCCCAATAAGGAGCTGAGCAATTTCTAGGTGAATCTTTAAGAATATACATACAACGAGCAGGATTAGATGGCACATAGTTTATTTGTATTTATACAACACCATGCTTTCCTAGAAAGGCAGGTTTCACTCCTGCAAGAGCTGCAAACCACATCGCCAAGTCCCACAGCAAGGGGTGATCGAGGGGGATTGGTGACTGCAGAAAAGCCACGGGTTGCAACAGGCAGCATAAAATGTGTTCCTTCAGTCAGAGGCCCAAGATCCTTCCAGATCTGTGCTCATTTATTGCACATCACGGTTAGGATCATGCTATGCTTTGTCATATATGGGACACATCATGGAAAAGGAAAATTCAGGGCTGGAAGGGTAACCTGCTGGTGTGGGATCATATACAAGGAGCTTCAAAAATGCCATCAAGGCCAGCATTGGCTGCTAAGTTGAGATTTTCAAGTGATATTAATTTCAATGCAGTTAGTCTTGATGTACTCTGCTCTGCCTGAGAATCGCAGCCGATGGGGAAGAAAAGAACACAGCAATAACAATATACATGCAAGAAATGTAAAAGAAACAAAAAAATCTCATGTATTAAAACATATTAAAAACATAAAACATGCCGCCTATATTGCTATCATTATATATTACCGCCTGAAATTTAATTCACTCAGTGCTGCTCACGCTGTTTGTTTACTTTTTTTCTATTGATCTTGGTTTGGGTGATGCATTTAGCCTACGGAATTTCACTTCCAACTTTCCACCGGGCTTGTGCGCTGCCACCTGTTAGCACCACAGCACGCCTCGCACCTCTCAGAGTGGCCTACGGTCAGCTCCGCTGCTGGTGTAAAGGGGGTCTACCTCCAGTGATTTAGGCCGCAGAGACAGCCCGAGCCTCCCCTGCCCTAAATTCCACCTGGAGGGTGATTTAAGCGCTGCTGCAAATCACCGTGCAAGCTGGGGCTCCGTGGGAGAGTCGGGTCCGTGCTGCGATGCCAGTTGCACAATCTCACTTGAAGCACGGAGAGTGGTGCAGCACGGGCCGTGGCTTTAAAAGGTCAGCATAAATATGCCGCCCTCACTCCTTCGCTCGTAAGTAATGTCTGTGCTGAGAGTTTTTACCTGGTTTTCAGGCTGTCTTCAGCCGCACTGAGCATTGTCCCAGAAAAGGCTGTTTTCAAGTGGCTTTACTAATGCTGGACCAAGCGTGGCCTCTGAGCGGCCTGCTTTTCTGCCTTTTCATCCTCATCTTGACGCGGTTAGGCAGGGGGTGTCTCAAGCATGCTGTCCCTGCCCACATCCTTCTCCACCCCACCGGGAAGGTGAGCAGGCAGAGCAGGCAGGAGCCAGCTCCCGCGGGTCCCTCAGGCTGAAGATGTGCCACTTCCACAGGGTCTGGGGACTTCTGGCAGTAGGAGGCAGCACCACCTTGGCTGTGCAGAGGCACAGAAGCAGCTCTGGAGTGGCTCGGGATTTTCAGAGGGTTTGTCGAGAGCCTGCTGTATGGACGTACGGGTTTTCAAACCTTTCCCTTGGAGCGTGTCTACACGGCAGCCCGAGCTGCGCCTGCAGCTGGAGCAGGGTGACCGACACGAAATGAAACCTGGCTAGCTCGGGAATGAATAACATAGAGCCCCACAGCCCCAAAACCGGCCCAGAAGGCTGTAGAAACGGGGCTGGCAGGGCTCCACGCGTGCCAGGGCACCACCTTCAGCCTCCAGCTGGCTTGGCTTGCTCTCCGAGAGCAGGGATCTCCCAGAACAGGATGGCCCCGCGGATATTCGCGCTAGCACCATCACACCAACAGCCCCCTCCTGCCACTGCGGGCTTTGCACATTGTTTCTCCCTTCTGTGATGACATGGCACTTCTCCGGCAGCTTGTCGCTCGCTGCTTAGCTAAAAAGCATGAATTTCTGGAAAGTAACACGCATTACCCTCTCCTGATGTGAGGCAGCAGCTACAGATGGGACAGCCTGCCCTAGCCAGCCGGCCAGATCCCACAGGCAGTGCTGCGCTCAGGCTGGGCGCACAGACGGAGTTTTTTGGGTTTTTGCTCTCGTTGGGTGGCAGGCACCAACCGCTGGCACCTCCATTTCTAACCAGACATCCCTCGTGTTTGAAGGAGGTGCGTGCACCCGGGTCTGTAACCTGCCGTGCAGATCGATGTAGACTTTCATGTAGATGGAGCCTGTGGGTGTTATGGTTTGTACAGGTCTAAGGAGGAATCAGTGTGGGATTTGCACAGGTGTAGCTTATCTCACATCCAAGGAGGATGCAAAAAGCACGTTAACCCAACCCCAGATCATGGCTGAAATGCCCCACGGGCAGCAAGGGCCTGCGTGGGCACCTAGGGCTGTGGCTGGCAATGCCGTGGGACGAGGCCCACAGCCTGCCCCATGGCCACGATACAGCCACCCCAATTTCCAAGGGTGCATTGGTGGTGCGCATGGGGCTGGGATCACGAGTGGGGCTGGGATCACGAGTGGGGCCGGGATCACGCATGGGATTAGGATCACGCGAGGGGGACACCAGAGCGGACTTATTAAAAAAAAAAAACACAATAACACCCCCAAATCCCCCAAACAACCCCGATCCCAACTTCTGCCGGCGGAACATTTTGGGGTGCAAGTTGCCACCGGCTCCCCCTTACCCCCCCTTCCCCAAATGCCGCGGGCTGTGCCCTCCCCCCCCGCGTCCCCTTCGTGTCCCCCCCACCCCCCGCTCCGGGCGGGCGCTGCGCGGGTGCTGCGCGGGCGCAGCTTGCGCGGGGCGGGCGCCGCCTCGGCCGCGCTCCCGGCGCGCAGGAGGGAGGGGAGGAGGCTCGGGGGGGGTGGGGGGGGGAGAGCGGGGCGGGAGCGGAGCCGAGCCGAGCCGAGCCGCTTGCAAACGAGCGGTGCGCCGCGGGCTTCTTCTTATTTATTTTTTTTATTATTATTTTTATTTTTTTAATTATTTTTTAATCTCCCCCCCTCCCACCCCCATCACCCCCCCACTCCGTTTTCTGGTGGTGGCGAGGAGGGGAAAAGGGGCAAAGGAGGGGGGTGTCCCCCGCCGGGGTGCTCCGCGCCCCTCGCCCCCTGCCCGCGGTGCGGTCGAAGATGCGCCCCGGACGCCGGGTGGTCGCAGCGCGGCGGCGCTGACATCGCTCACCATGGACAGCTTCGACTTAGCTCTGCTCCAGGAGTGGGACCTGGACTCTCTGTGGTGAGTGCGGAGTGCGGGTATGGGGTGGGGGGGGGGAGAGAAAAGGGGGTGAAAAGGGGGAGAGCTAAGAGCCAAGGGGTGTGTGTGTGGGGGGGGGTGCGGTGGGTGGAGGGGGTGCTGCAAGCGGGGGCTGTGCGGTAATTGGGGGCTGCGATGATTTGGGGTGGGAGGGCGGGCGCGTAGCGGGAGGGGTGCGATGAGCTGGGAGGGGGCAGGAATCGGGGGGGTGCGGTGACGGGGTGCGGTGCCTCTGCCCTAGGGGGTGCAGCACCCCGGGAGGTGCCCCCCCCCCCCCCCGCCACTTGTTCCCCCGAGGGGGGCAGCGGGCAGACGCCCCCTCCCCTGGCTGCCGGGGGGAGTGTCCGGGAGGTGAACCCGGTGCCGGGCTGCGGGGGCCCCTGCACCCCCCTCCCGCTAATTCCCGGTGCTCCCCCGCCACGGGCACCCCGGGGGCCGCGCTCCCGGAGCTCAGCCCCGTTCCCCCCGCACTCCCCTTTCGCCCCCTCCCGCTGCCTTCACGTCCCCTCCTTTTCCTCCTGCCCCTCTCCCCCCCCTCAACCCCCCCTCCCCATGCCCTTGACCTCCCCCTGCGCCCCCCCACGGCCCTGCCCGCCCCGGCGGCGGGTGCGGGGCTGCCGGGGAGGAGGGGAGCCAATTTCGAGAAATGGCATTAGCGGCTCGAGGTGGGAAGCGCTGCCCTCCCCCTCCACCTCTCACCTTCCCCTCCCCAACCCCACAAACCCCGTCACCCCCCCCCACCCTCCCGCATCACCTCCCCGAGGCGCTGCCGCTGCCAAGTCCCGGAGTTTGCTGCGGGAGGCTCGGCACGGCTCGCCCCGTCGGGACGGGGCTGCTTTTGGGGCACGGTTGGGGCCGGGGAGGAGGCGACTGCAGCTCGCATGCAGCCTGCTGGCTGCCTACTTTGGGGAGAGGAGATGAGTTTCGCCCGAGCTCAGCGGCACGCGTCCCTGTCCCTGTATCTCTCAATTTCAACGTGTTGTGGGATCCGCGTCGCCCGTCTGTAGGGTGCAGCGCCCGCTTATCCCTGCGGTGGCAGGTGTAACAAAATCAGCCCCGAGGGTCCCGTGGGTGAGCTCTGCTCCTGGCAAAAGAGACCTCGGGAGGATGGGGACAGCTCGTGCTGCGCGATGGCAGCGCCTCGAAAACGCCTACGTTGAGAGCATCCAGCCCCATAAAACTTTTATACTGCTGGGGGAACTTTAAAGAGCAAGTATAATGCAAAATTAGTTACTACCCCATAAAAGTTTTTAATTACAGTGTTTCTGCCCATGACACAAGTTAAGGTTATGTCCTCGTTTCAATTATAAATACCAATATTCGGCTTCTACCCAAACTATAGCATTTATCTCTGGTCTGGTTTTAAGTCTTCAGTCCATACACACAGTTTTACAATTAAATTCCTCTCTCTCTCTCTTTTTTATTTTTTATTTTTTTCTATTAAACAAGAATAGGGGAAATAATACTTTCATGCATTCAAATGCTTTTCCCTTTCTCAGTGAATGAAGGCAAACTTTGGAGCAATTTGCTTTTTTTCTCAGCAAAAGTGTGATGTTCATTAGTCTGTTCTGTAACCTAGCTGTTGAAGTAAATATTGAATTTGAAAAGCTAACAATGTAACTCTGGAAAGCCGGGGCTTTTGACTGTGTCTAGCAATTGCTGCTTTTCATAACCTTTATAGTACACCTTCTGACTATTGTGGAGCCACTTTGAAATGACCACCGTAAGCATAAAAATGAGGTACAAGTCCAAAGAGACATCAACCGCTCGCCAGCTAAATTACATGCTTAAAAATGTCTCTATTGGTGTTAAAAGTGATCTTGTGGTTTCATAGATTTTTTTTTCCTCTGCTGTTGCTGTTTAGAAGATAGGTTCAAGAGAAGGGCTTCAAAGAGCACATTAAAAGCCAGCGTGTAGTAGCAGGCCTGCGTTCCTTGCCAAGCTCTCACCCCTGTGCACGGCTTCAATCCCCATGTCCTGAGCAAGGAGGTCGGATGCTTCAACCAGAGCTCCTCTGTGGAGCAGGGGCTTATAGGGGGTTCATGTCAGCATTGTTTTGGGGCCCCCCATGGTTTGCTCAATGGCCTTGACTTGTAGTATCCAAGATCATGGGCTGGAGGCCTGTCCTGAGGCACTTGCTTTGGCAAATGCTTCCAAATCATTGTTTTGAAAATTTTACAATTGGTATTTAAAAGAAAATAATAATAAGAAAACACACAACACAACGCAATGCAAACTTACAAAGGTGGTACTAAAGGTACCTAGGTGCTGCAGCATCTGTGCAAAGGATGCTGGGCTGGTCTCTGACTGCAGGCAGGGTGCCTTCAAATGAGAGCGATTGTTACCAAAAAGGAAAATAAAATATACCACACAGATAACAAGCGAGTACTTCATGGCAAAGAGCAACACTTAAGAGACTTAATTTTCTCGGCAGCAAGAATGAACGTTGTCCTTTATTCTTTTGAATGTTGGTAATAACGACATTTTGCGCACTTAACTTATGACTGAAAATCCACTTTTGGCAATATTTGGCAAATGTTTTCCTTAAGAGTGCAGTAATTAAATATTAACGTGCTGTTCTAAAGTGCTTCTTTTCTTTATTTGGTATGTTCTTGGAAAATCAAAAGAGTATGGAAAGGGATTTCCAGATGAACAGTAGCATGCTAATCAATTCTCATTGATTGTTACTTTTATACTGGTAATGAATTTGCTCTCCAATTAATATGTGTTGTTATTTCTTTTACTCTGCTGTAGCATCAAAAATGTAGTAATGTATTGTGTTGTGGCTATAACATAGTATTGAACTAGTAAAGTGAAATGGGAGAATATTTAAGTCCTTTTCTACTAAAGAGTACTTTTTCCAGGTTGTGTTGATGCCAACAACACTTCTGCTTCCCAGAAAACTACTATAATTCAAATAGTGAAAGCTGAGTACAAACTCAAATAGAAAATTTAACAGAACATAAAAATCTGTGGTGTAAACAAAACTCATGCCCATTTGGTAAGCTTTTTTTCTGGAACGTTTAGGGATGATCAGCCCAACTTCACTGAGGGCTTCATAACTGCTGACTAACAAGTTTGCCCCAAACACATGGCGCTAATGACTTTGAAGCACAGCCCCAACTCCTGTTTTTCTTTCTGCATGTTTTTATTTGACTCCAGTGTGTGTAGTTTGATTTGTCCAGACTTAAGGAGGTGGATTCTCCAGTGCCTTATCACCTAGTATTTGTTTACGCCAGAGAAAAGAGATGGAAAATCTCCATTAGTGGTGTTATACATTCCTTTTGTACAGCAGAAAGCATATTATACATGACAGAAAGAAGCAAATGAGCAGACCAAAGGACTTAATTGGAGTGCCAGGACTAGTTCTGCATTACAGGCATTCATGTTGTTATTTGCCTTATTTAACAAATCCCAATCGAAATTCAGCCAGCTCCTTAACTGTGCACCTAGGTTTAGGCGCAGAACTAGCTTGAGGGAAGACCATTTAGTGAAGGGTCTTCTCACGTGCCCATGAAAGATAAATGCATAGGTTAAAGTTTTTCGCATTCATTAAAACCAATTTGCAGATTTACTAAATTACTTACAGTGTTGTGTCAAACAAGAAAATAATTTTGAGACAATTTTTGATACGTTTGTTAGCCACAAACAAAACAGTGTTTGTTTAGGTGAAAGAAGCCAAGTATATAAACAGTTTATTTGGTACTCATCTGATACTTCTGGATATTTTGAGATAGCATCAGTTTTGTAGAGGTTGGGTAGTCATGTAAAAATGTATAGTTGTGTAGCTTCCAAGCTGAGATCAATATCAAATGCCACGGTGTAAGGTGGCCCAGTGTGTTTTACAGACCTTGTATTGAATTACTAGTTCATTTGCTATCTTTGGGTCTGTTCCTGCTCCATTTGAAGTCAATGAAAGTTTTGTTTGGAAGTTGCTATTAACAAAAAACGGCTAGACATCCAGCAGTCTTATAAATGAACCTTTTGTAACTTCTTGATCCCAGGTTGTCTAGCTTTTAGTCACTACATTTTATATTTGTGTAAGTCAAGATTTTTTTTAATTTTCTTTTTTTTTTCTTTTTTTTTTTTTCAGGTAGCACAGTGTTTACTGGGGGTGATTTTAGAAAGCTAATTCTACAAATGCTTCTTCAGTCAAAGTAGAATATCTAGATGTTTATTTTCAGATAATAGCAAGTAGCTGTTTTTGGGGTGGAGGTGGGAGTCACTCAAGCCATTCTCTCAGTAGGGTAAGATGCTGGGCTGGCCTAACCTTATACAGACAATACACAGCAATTTTGTCCCTCTCACAAAAAAAAAAAAAAAATAATTAAGTACCTCCTTTTATCTCCCATCTCCTTTACAGCTCTATTCCAGCCTATGTCTTGGACTTTGTCCCTTATTTCTTTTCTTTTAGCTCTTGGCCTCTATCTAGCTTCGGTGACACTTGAAATCCTATTTGTCTCATTTCTGTCGCTGTGGTGTTTTCCCTTCTGTCTTCCTCCCAGTGTCAACTCATGGTTACCACCTTCCCCTCACTGAGAACCCAGCTAAAAATTTGCTCTCTCTGTGATGATTATAAGTTGTGAGCAAACAATAACAAGAGTAATAACTATAGACTGTTCCCTTCCTTCGATTTCACAGCATGTTCTTTCTTCCCAATGCCTGTTTTTTAGGCTGTAAGTCCTTTGGGTCAGGAATTGCTTCCATTGTTCAAGTTTTTTTTTTTTTTTTTCCTTGCAGCACTGAACAAATTGTATGTGCTAAACATAATAAGTATAAATCATAAGAAGTGAGCTTTTTCATGGCCATAATACTTTATAAGTATCAGCTGAATAATACTATTTTAAGAATACATCTGTAGGGCCATGTGAGTGCTCGTTTTTTGGATGTGATGTACCACATCTTCATCTGTTTTAAGTCTACAGAGCTCCACCAAGTCGCCTTTGCTATTTTATATCAGATAAGTATCTGGCCCATCATCT